AAGTTATAGCGAATTCATAATGACCCCTCATTGTGGAGAGGTTGGATGGGACGGCATGATGAGAGGCTTGACGTGGGGGGCACTCAACGTAGTCATGTGACCGGTGAACAGTTGCGCGTGGCTTGGGAGCCGTGCAGTGTGATGCACAAGCCCAGTAGGGCATTGTGTGTTGTGAGATCGGGTTAAGGAGATCTTGATGGGAATATTTGGTTGGAGAGCTTTGAAATGCTATTGCATTTCAAATTTGGATTTGTGGTTGAGTATGGGAGACCAGTCCAAACGGCTGAGGGACTTTGTTGTTGTTGCAAGCTATGGCAAGTGTAAGGCCCGTTTCTCCAAGGCCGAGCGAGCAAAAAGGGGTACCCTTGGCAACCAGCCAATGCCCCGTATCCCCCAGGCGGTGCCGGCACCGCGTGCCACCATCAGAGCGCCTCGGCGCTCGGGTTCCTGACCCGTCAGGACCCAACTGGTGACTTGAACGCCCGTTTAACGGATTTGTCATGCAAGCAAAGGGCACCCACAGTGTGGTGTTGTCTTGTTTCGCTGCTGCACTACCCAGCGTGGGCTGGGCGACTCGTTTCAGTGGTTTCCAAGCTGCTTTGGAGCGTTGGGGTTGTGTGGCTACTATGTTCAAATACTCTTTCTACGTTTCATTGGACTGTGGGTCAGCCGGGAGATGGAGGCAACGACTTGGCGACCCCCATGATCTAGTTTTTTGTGCGTTTGGAGGTCATTTTTGACAAGCTCGAAGTGTTCTGCTCGGTGGAGAGTCGCTGAGAGAGTGGTGGTGTCATTGACCACCATATGAACCGGCGAATTGTTTGTTGCTCAACTACTCTGTGGCATACTTTGTCCGAGCCTATTTGCAGGAGAAGCGAAGCTCATTTGTATCTACATTTCTGCCCTAACATTGCTATGTCGGACGGGCACCGTTACAATATTGTTTTGTGATTATGGATGTTAAGAAGCCTAAATCAGAGTATTGAACAAGCCCTAGGCTGCATCCCTGGATCAGGAACCGATGTCACTGTTTGCAGTGGCTATCAGTGTTTTGCTGTCACATTGCAATGGCTTCAGTATGTACTTGGTTTTCTGGTCGATTCGCTCACAGATAATGCACAAATGAGGATGCTATATTTGCAAATGTAATTTGCACATTTCAAGGCGTGTCTTGGATGGCTGCCCTGCTGGTCGAAATATTGGTTGCAAAAATTTTTATTAACTAATAATTTAAAGTGTTATTCGTTCCAATGGATCGTTTCAACAGTTATTGAGGAGATTTCTCCTATGTGCAAGATGTAATCAAAATGCAATAATGCATCTGTGGCATTTTTATATAATGCAAAACGCCTTCTTCTTAAACAATGGTCACAGTCAAGATTGCTTGCAGATATCTACGGTTTTCAAGTGCCAAACTAACATTTGTAGAAGACATTACCTTTGGTGTGCTGACTGCAATGCTATTTGACACAAATAAATGTCAGTACAGTAACTGAGATGGCAGCAAAATGGCTATCATGATATCAATTAGTTTCAAATAGCCTCGCAGCTGGTATCGGAAGAATAGCATTTTGTGCTCGTATGGGAAATGCCAAGGCGTTGATATACCGCTAGTTTGCAGCGCAACGAGAAGAAAGATACTTGATTATGGCTGTTAAGTACGGCATGCTGGCCATATTAAATAAACATAAAAACTCAATGCGATCGTTGACTTTAGTTCAATGGTCTCATTGATAGTAACGTAATGTGGCTATATTCGTTGAATTATGCTTTGGCCATCTAGTCTAGAAAACGAAAAATAGAAGTCCAATGAATAGATCAGCATTGATCATCACGGACACCAAACTTATCAATAGCTCATATTCAAAACAGTATCCGCGGCACCTGAAATCCCAGTACTGATTTCTGATTCGCCAATTTAGTGGATGGTTCTGATTTTCGAATAATTAAGAGATATAATGTGGTGGACAATGTTGCATTGCAGATATCTGTTGTTGAAAAATCTGTGGCGCATCCGAGATCGAACTCTGATGGGCTCAGTCAGAACTCCGGGTACAACGTCGCTCTACTGAAGCTGGCCCGGAGATCATCCATGGTTGTTCCTAAGATAGTCGCAGATCATTTTGACCTACGCAATGGGCAACAGCTCATCGCCGTCGGGTGGGGGGCTGGCGCTGATGGTCCCTCTCTCGGAGGCGAAATTTTCGGCAGCCTGAAAATTGAGCAGCAGGATTTTATTGAAGGAGAGCGATGCAACCAGTCTGCCCTCTGGGACGGCAAAATCAAGGCCGGCACAGTGTGCGGAATTAATGAACAACGTACTTCTAGTTGCATTGGTAAGTGGAGAGGTATAGTGCGCACTGTCAGGGCTCACCCCATATTATTGTCACATCATATGTTGACTATTCTATTTATTGCCTGGTTACCATACAATTGCTTTGAGCAACCCAAATGGGATCAGAAAATAGTAAGCTTTGCTATTGCGTGAGTAGCCTGTGCACTGAGACCAAGCACCTGGCGATTGCAACACAGTTGGCAATCGGATGTGCACTCAACAGGAGGCTTTGACGTCAATGCTATTTCCTGCTACCAGTGTGTGCCATAAATTGTGGCACATGCCGACCTTCTTCTGGAAAGACTAATGATTCAGCAGCGACACCACTTGAATTCCATTGCCATCACGTCGAGTCGCGTTTGTCTGATCCCATAAAGACCTGTGGCTGCGTAGAAGTGATTTCAATTGTTGGTGTCGTGTTCAAGTGGACTCCGGATGCCCTCTGATGCTCGCCGACATGCCCGGACTCAATGTGTCCAACGGCGTCCCAAGCTTTGATTTTTTGGTCGGCATCAACATCGACGGTGCCGCCTGTGGGACGAGAGCGAAACCCGATATCTACCTTGACCTCAGGATGCTCAATGACTGGATTCAGATGGAGATCCAGGATACGCCAATTCGATCCGAGCCGTGAGCCCGTGCCCCTCTAACCTATTCTTCGGTGTCTCTGTGCGATTGCCACACATTCAGAAGAATGGCACTGTCTCAGCCAGCTTGACTGCAACCTCCGACCTTTATCATAAGTTAGTGTCCCAGTGAAGTGGCAGTTATCATGCCACTTCTTGGGTCTGAAATGATAGCGACTTGTTGCTTTGTCAGCCTGCAGCGCAATAGTAAATCGTTCGCGGAGGGCTAGTGTGTCTGCAGATTGGCGGGGTGCGGTTGTGGCGTTGATCCCCCTGCTCAAATTGGTTCATGGACCAATACAGCACCGGCTTCATCTGAGTCGCGTTGGCGCCACAAGCGGGGTGACGACACCGTCGTGGCGCCCCACAGGCAGCCTGTTGCGGCAATGGTCATTTCCTCTCAATGTATAAGTGGGAGCTATGCATGGTTGCTCGTATTGCTCATGCGGGAAGATAAGAACATGGTGATTTTAAATTTACTATATCGTGTTTGGTCGCCTGCTTTGATTCATTGATTGCAACGTGCGTAATGGAAAGCTGCTGGATTCTGAACTGACAGTCAGTGGCGGGGCTTAAGCTTGAAATGGGGCGTCTGTTGAATCAAATTTGCAATGTCATAAAGCACATGTCGGAGGAAGACATGTGCACACATCTTTAATACAGGTGAACGGAATTGATCGTCGTGTTGGTAAATGATGCGCAATCGTGCTGTGCGTGCATTTTCCCGCCGAGCCGCATGTGCTGGATCTTACTGGGTATTCGGGGTCGTTCACAACGCTCCGGAGTCTACTGTGCAAAGTGAATACAGAATTGCCACATACTGTGTTGCTGCAACAACATTGGCCACAGACACATCTTTGGGACCTCATTTTCAATATAGTCGCCATCTCGTGAGTATGGTGGCGGCAACGTTCACGCCAAGCCGTGTGAATGATCACTGCAAACCTGGCTCTGGTATTTAGTGCATTGCATCTGCATCGGAAGTGGGTAGTCGGAAGCATAACTATCCTCATCCTATGAGGCACTTGTGATCCATTTGGCACATACTTAAATCCACGCATATTAACAATGTTGGTGTTACGTATCTCCCGTATTATCCAAAGCATACATTCGCATTTCCAACTCCCCTTGTAGCAGCTTGTCACGTGGCAGCTAATGTCTGTAAATTGCGGGGCCAATGACAACAGCATGTCGGGTAGTGAATCCCGGTGAACAATTACTTTGAACCTGCATATCGAACCAACAGAAACGCGACATTGATCAACGTTGTCCAATTGGGCCACTCAGTGTGATTGACGTCAAGCATGTTTGAAATTGAGGTGAGGAATGCACTTTTTAGACGTAGTCCACACATGAATACAAATGTATTTGCGGTATATTTCGTAGATTGACAGGAGAGTCTGAGCTCCCCAGGTGCGGCCCGTGGCCGTTATACTTCTGGCAGTCTGACTGATGTCCGCAAAGTCCTTGAAGTTTCGCATTTGATGCTACAGAAAGCAGACGAAACGGTTTGAGGTCGGGCGCCGAAATTGCAGAGGTAAGCATCTTGCATTTCCTTAGTTTTTCAAGTGCATTCGCAACCAGCTTTGCTGGCGGCAGCGACGGCTGATTTTTCAGGTACAAGCTCCTCGCTGGCTGAAAGATGCGATATTTGGGTCAATGGCAGCTCCTTCCATTTAGCCCATGGTCAGAGAATTTGGGAGAACCAGTACACACCAGTACGCCACTCGAAGCTGCAGTATTCTATCTTCCAGGGCAAGGTAACTTGTTGGATAGGTAACCATTGACAGCCACCTTTCATCTTCTAAACCTCCGATTGTCAATGTATCCAACGTAGGAGAGTTCTGCAATGCGATCGGCAGAAGGTACTGTGGCCAAGACGTTACCAGCCGGCGAAGGACCGCCTTATGGAGGCGCGTTCCTGCCACTTCCAATGACTACAATGCCGTCGCACAATCAAAGCCACTTAGCTTCTTCGCACCTAGACTCCCCTCCCGAACTGCGCCAACGGCCGATGCTTCGCGAAGCATGACTGTGCAATGAGTTTTGAAGTCAATCCAACGGGACCATCGTGCACCAAGGAACAGGATCACATATATGCGCCCCCTTGGTCGCTATGCACACCACCTGCACACTGCGGCCACGCCCAAGGACACCCCTGCCACTCTCACAGCGACCAGGCGTCGAAGTCGGAGGCGCAGCGTCAGCCGCCTGGCAACACCGCCTGCACTGCGACCACGCCCAAGGACACCCCTGCCACTCTCACAACGACCAGGCGTCGAAATCGGAGGTGCAGCGTTGGCCACCTTGTAACCACCCACCGAATCGGGGCCCTTCACTTCCCGAACGCTTCTTCCGACGCCGTTCTGGGGGACAGAGCAACTTGGAGCATGTAAACTTGCCGGGTCCCCAGGGACCTGTAGCAGGGGTCCCGCGGCCCGCCTTTGGCGACTGGAGCGCGAGACAACCCCGTGACTAAACACCCGCGGCCTCACAGCCCCGTGCATCGTGGCCGGTTGTCTTGAACCCAGTGAGCCACTGGCAGTGACGCGCACTAGCACAGTGGCCCATGGATCACTGCCCAGACGCGCGGTGACCGATCACCGACGCTAATTTGTGCCGATCCCGCGTGAACGTGGTGTCCAGCGCCTTGCGCCGGGAAAGGCAAGACTGGGGCCCGGCGTCTGAAGGGCGGGCGCACATTCCGAGATGTCCGCGACGCCTGAGCTGTCTGGGATGTCTGGAGATGTTGCGCGGCTCTCGAACTCTTATGTTTCTGTGGTGCCATCCCGAGCGTGACCAAGCGGCGCGCTCCCGCCGCGGCTGTTCCAGCGGCTGGAATCGTCGCACAACGCGTCCCAGCGGGGTTCCTTCGCTTTGGCGTGCTCAGCTGCGTGTGCCCTGCGCGCTTTGGAACGTTCGGCCGGTGGTGCCCCCCGCGTGTCGCAGAATGGCATCCTTCGGGCTTGGAAAATATCTGCGGTCCAGGCAGAGTGACGGACAGCTGTCTGGGGCTGGTAGATTTGGGTTGTATGGTGCACACAGGATCGGCGGACGGCCGCATTTCCCCAGGTTCCTTGATGGGACCGGGATATGCGTGCGGGGCCTCCAGCCCCGGTCCACATATCCGCATCAGCATTCTCAGAGGCCGCGGCACAGGCCCAGTGCACGAGTGGCACACGGCGTCATTCCCAGGCAGGCGACGGCCATTGAGCGTTCCCCACTCGCACCATTGTTTGTACACCAAGTATTGTGAGAGTGCGGCTGCATCCAAAAGGCAATCTGTGACAAATGTTACCCATTAGTGCTGTCCAGCCACAAATTTGTGGGCTGCTTCCCTTATGTGTTGTGTCACGTTCCTTGGAAGCTGCTCTGTGGCACGTCGCCGTTGACATACTGTATGTCTTAGACGACAACGCACTGTCCTGACAGCGAGCTTGACCAATGGATACGATCATTTTCAAGGCGTCCGCAGCGTTATAGACACAATCTGGGCCACACAATTATTTACTGCTCGGTAAATTTATCCTTCTTGTCGCTGTGTACCGGCAGTGTGAGCTGACGTGCGTATGCAAAGTTGAGCACATGTCCTGCGCATATCCCACCCAGTGAGATCCAGATCGAGCCAGCTACTTCAAGCCGATCAGCTTTCGCTGGGTAGAAGAGGCACTCTATGACGTTGCTGCCACTGCTAAGAGCTTCTCACAAGTCGTGTCCGATCAGCAGCCGCTGTCGCCTGTCAGAACGTGGCTGGGCGCGGTCGGGAACACCCAGTGGTGCTGGCCACTTGCTGGCAAGGGTTGAACCGCTGAACGGTTAGTAGAATGGGGAACTTCGCTGCTGAAAAGAAAAAAGAAAGAAAAAAAGAAAGAAACTCTCAACTCTCCGCTGTTGATGTGTTCTACTGCATTTTGACCTTGCGCATGCCACCGTCATGGACAGGTCTGCAACCAGCGGGAACACGATATGCTGCTATTGACGGCGATTTTGGCGGCCTTCACAAGAGGCAGTGGCGGCCATTCCTATGATACAGGTGGGAGAGGATGTGATCTTGGCCTTGTGGGCACTTGCAAGTATCAGGCCTGTTATGTACGTTTACGGCACTATTCTGACGGACGCGTTCTTACACGTCAAAACGTGTAAATAGAAACTGACCATATTCATGCATATGTACGGCTAGTAGTTACGTCCATATTACAAGATGATGCCCCCCCAATCAACGATCAATCCTTCACTCTCTCCAGCACCAGCAGCACAGAGCACGCCTCGCCTTCAGCAAGAGTAACGTCGCCGAGCAAAGGATCGTCTTATGCACACTCCAGCGCGTCTGGGTGCCACTCCCCGGACTCTTTCAGTCTATATGTACTGTGCTTAAGTGCACGGGCCCATTTTTGCCCATTATTGCTTATGTTTACGGCTACTTACGAGCAGAAGCCTCCAACCCATTTTCGCGCATAAATATTAACAAGTAGGAAAAGTACATGCTTCGTAAATAACAAGGCTGGCAAGTACTATTGCACTAATCAGATTGCTCAGGCCATGTCTGCTGCTCACAAATGTCTATGCAGTAACAATGATGCCACGAGACTTTCAAAAGTTGCTGCCGCTAACAGGATATTGGCTATTTCTCGGCTCCTGTCAGCAAACACGGGCGTACCGAGCCGCCTGCCTTGCAAATGCGCAAGCGCCGGTTTTGTCAAAAAGGAAGCAAGCGGTTTTCTGATCGCTGGGCGTGCGTCTTGGTGCCGTTTGGCTGGACCTCGGCTCTTTTTGCAAAAGATAAAGTGTGCTTCATCAGCAGCATGGTATCGCAAAATGTGGGCCGTTTTCTCATAGACGTTCCCCTCGCACCAGAGTCCAGACTTTTCTGGCCACTTGGAGACGAATGCGGCAATGATTCTGGTTTGCGGCACTGCAATTGCTCGCTGGTGCGATTGCCTTCGCAGGCACTTTGGAGAGCTCCGCTGGGACAGGCACAGGAGCACAGGCGAGTGTGGAATCCCTTGAAGTGGCACCTCGAAACCTCACATCTGCGCACGGTGCAGGGCTGCCGCCACAGCAGTTGCGGCATTGGTAATTATGCGAATTCAAGTTCGCGCCCAATCCATGAATTACCACTGGGTGTTCACCCTGTTGTCATAACTGCCAGCTTCCAGAATGCTGATTATGCTCCATGCCGATATATATGTTTATTTTATTTACTTATTTATATTTATATTGTATGCATAGTTATTTATATATTAAGTTTATATTTTGCTGCAAATTGGTGCAAATCACTGCGCCCCAAGGCTGATGGCCAGTTGCTAATTTGGCGAAATCGTCAAGAAGGTGTGCTGCACGATGGCCGTGTGGCATGCACAGTGATGTTTGGTTGAGCAGCGGATGTTCCCAATTTTGCATCTCGCGACCTTTCTCTAAAAGCCTTCTCTTGGGGACAACAGAGCGCCAATAGTGCTGCGAGACCAACATGATTGCCCTTGCCAGCACTGCCCTCCATACCCATTCGCCACGAATTTCTATGGCCACGGTTCAGTGCTGTGGAATGATTTTGGCTGTGCATGCCGTCGTGTGCTTTTACGTGTTTTGTTAACATTTTACCTTTTCAAATCAAAGGCCAATGGAGAGCTTGTTGATGCACGAAAAGGCGTTGAATGTGCATGCTGAGGTTGTTATTGGAAAGTCGAGGACCTACGCAGCACCAGACATGCAGGTTCATGGACACTGTGAATTGGACGTGGCTTGGAAGGCGCAAGGCAACGGCTGTGGCATGGAAGCTTGCCTGTCTAGACTGCCAATGCAAACTCTAGACGTAGGGTGAGCGCTGGAGTCTATGTGGGTTGCTGTCATACTTGCGGGTGTTGAATTCTTTCAGAATTCAACTTTTAGAATTGTGCTCGGGGTGTGTGACAGGGGAGGTTGCCGTACATGGCATCGATTCGCCGACACGGAGATCGGCAACACGTCTGCTCCGCCATCCTTTTGGACCAACAGCACGTCCTCACAGCTGCCCACTGCGTCGATCCTCAGTCGCACTATTCGGCCGGCTTAAGGCCCATTGTGTACATTGGCCTGACGAATGTGGACGCCGACGGGGAAGAATTCGTTGAGGTGTGTGTGCCCTGGCAACCCAAAATCGTGGTTGGTCGATGCACCAAGGGAGGGTGTCCCTTTGTGTTGCTTCGGTGTTGGTATGTGTGTTGCTTCCCACATGTTGCAATGTGGGCATAGTAGGATATGCGCAGCAAGAAGGCGGATGTTGCTGCACGGAACCGTTGGAGCTGCCTATAATTTGCTGCCAAATTCGTGGAGATTATGTACAACACTCCTATGCCAAACGAATTCGCCCAACTTCGAAGAATCGCAGGCATCAATTGTAACAGGGCCATAGGTCTGCTGCCATGCCTGGAAATAAAATACACGTATATAAATATACATACACGTGTATATGTATGTATGTATAAATATAAATACGCGTATGTATGTAGAAAATCGCGGCCGCCCATGGTTATGCATGTTTGCGTTGGTTGCAGAATGGACAATCATGGTGGGAGAATGCGACAATGCGCAACCCACAGTGATCTCCCAGCCCTCCTAGCAATGGCTAACGCCTTGCCGAGGTCAAAGACTTCTTTAAGACATGCGGAACGGTGCGCGTCCAACATATGATGCAGCTGCGTCTGCGACTTTGCTGGTTTGTTCGAGCTCCATCGTCCAAAAGCTTTCAAGGTGGCCATCGCGAACGTGGCAGTAATCACGCTCATCAATGGCGAATCCCTGCCCATGTGCAATCGGAAGCTGGAGCGCCTGCATTGACGTGTTCGTTGATAGGCGATGTGTTCTTCGCATCAAGAAGAAGTGTCGTGGGGAACTGGCGATGGCTGTTCCTGTGCGTTGAACTCTGGACAATTCGGTGCTGGCTGGGCCGCTGATGCGCTGCGTTGGATCCATTCATGCGTTAACAAACGTACTGAACTCCAGTATGTCTGACAATGCGATTATTACGGCAATGTGGAGTATACTTTGGCATGATAATTTGATTCATATTCTGCCCCTCCAAAGGTACTGAGGGTATCCCACACTATCATACACGAGAATTGGACTCCCACTGTGGGCCAGAGATCCCGCTGGAACCTTGCGATATTGAGAACCGAGCAGAGGTCACAGAAGCAAGCTCCCACGATCCTCAGCGATCACTTCGAGCTGTCATCCGGCCAGAAGCTTGCCAGCATCGGGTACGGTGCTGGCGAAGATGGCCCAGCTCTGGGCCAAGACATTTTCGGCACTGTCAAGATTGAAGACATGCAGTTCCTGGAAGGCGCACTGTGCAACCGGCCTGATCTTTGGAACGGTGGACTGGAAGAACACATGCTGTGTGGACTTAATCAAGGCGCCACGGCCAGCTGCATAGGTAGGGCAGTACATTCAGTGAAACAGCAAAACGATGGGCATTCACAGCATCCAGCTCTTTGTGAAAGTATTGAAATGACTCGCTGTACATGGGAGATATGCCTATCTGATGTTGTTGATGTAAGCGTCCCCAACCATTTACTTTTAAGACACAGCATTAAGTCGCACTTGTGATGGTCGCCTTGAAAGCCGGACCGATCACCGGCAATACGGATTGCATGGCGGCCAATTCCGTTCTTCCCATACACAGCACCACCGCGAATTCGACGACTCTGAGCCAAGAAATGATGTCATATCATTCAAATTGTTCAGGCCGTCTTTGCAGTCACTCTTGATCAGGCATTCTCAATTTTCTTCAAAACGCTGCGCCATGTTGCACAGCAGTCGCCAAAAGTCGACTGAACACTTGTGCTCCAAATCTATTTCCACTCAATTTCCTCGATCGATTCGCCATGACATCTTCTGATGCATGCGGAGCTCCCACACCGCCGAATCCTGCAGCCGGTACCCCAAGTACTGGTCAACATCTTTCTCGCCGTCGCTCCTGGATTCTCCACATTCCCTTTGCACCCCGCACGACCATCCCCCCTTTCGCTTCCTCCGCCTCTGGATCATCCGGTGCCTTCTCATGGAAAGCACGACGCTCGGCACACCATCAATCGAGTGTCCGCCCTGCCTTTCACTGCCGGAGTTGAACCTCCAGTTCCACTGCTCTCCTCCTATGCCACGCTGCTAGCCAGTGGAGCGCTACCTGCTGAGGTACCATCCCCCCTTCCATGACTTGGTGGCGTCGATGGTCGGCGCCGCTCCCCAGCCCTCCTTCAGCTGCGCTCCTGCTTGCCAGACTGCAGCAGCCGCACAGCACCATCGAACAGACGGTGACGGCATGAGTACCCCTCGAACGGTCTGATGGAAAATGGGAGGTCTTACCAAGTGACAGCACAGCAGCTAAGTAGCAGGCAAAATCACGTAGCGGCCTATAGGCACATACTTGGACACCGTATGGACCGTATATAATACACCGTATGGACACCATACGGCTACACACGCTTTCCAGAGCTGCCTCCAGACATTCACGCACAAGCAGCACTTCAACCAGATACGTCCTAACACATCTGTGTTCTTTTTCCACTTCCTTCGGCACCCCAGCCACAAGTCAGTCCCAGCCATCATGTGTTCCAGCAATGGATGCGCACGGATTTTCTAGATCCTTTTAAAAAGCGTGTCGCCTTGGTGATAAATTCTAAGATCATTCTCCTGCCTCCCCTTACTCTGATTGACTCAGAGCCGACACAACTGCGAATCCGCTCATTAAGGATGCCCCGTTCAACCAGATTGCCCTCTCTCAACATCCAGACACCCAGGGCGATTGCTCCCAACTCTTTGCTCCATGCCCCCGCCCAATCCGTCGCAACTCTTTTGTGACGTCGCTCTATCTCAACCAGGCAATGTACCTGTCTCTGAGATCTGTGCAAGGGTGTCCCAAGTACCTCAAAAAAGTTACTCCGTTTATTTTGCTATGCTGAGATTCCAGTGACGCCATTCATATCCGTATGAATGAGTAGCACGAAACTCGCATGACACGACATCCAGAGTAGGATTCTTCACATTGTATCTGCGTTTGCACTTGATTTGACAATCCTGAAGCCATTCGTTGCGCCCATGTCTGTTAAGCTCTTGGAATTGCTAGTTCTTGAGATATGTAGATTCGAATGCCAACAAACTTGTCATTCTGCATGATGAAAATTCCAAAACGATTGTCCTTACTATTTTGCCATGACGCAGTTGAAACAGGGCAAAATCAGCTTGAACGTCCAAGCATCGTGTATCGTGTATTCGCTGTTGCCCAATCCATATGCCCCTTTTGATTCAAATTCTTAGGCTTCGACCCAAGTTGGACGCCGCTGATGAGAGTGGCACGAGAAAGATGGGTAAAATTGCAGGATTTGGTCCCATTTCAACTGTTTTTCAACTTCGAACACACGTTTTCCACCAGTTCACCATAATTACAACGCGGCTAGAAACTGTGTTAAATGGGCAACTGAAAACTTTTGGCAAGAGCATGGAGCCTGCCAGTGCACTGCACTTTGATCGCTGCGTTGCGCTGGAATCGCGTTGCGTGGAGTACAAGCAAGTACTGCTGCGCACTGAGCATTGCGTCACTGTTTTCCCAAACACAGCACGAGTCATTCCGAATTTCGATCATGTGGTGCAACAAATCGCATTTTGCCAACACCTCGTGCGAGATTTTGCATGTGATATCGGCGATTCCGCAAGCACTTTTAAGGCAGTGGCGACGACAGCCAGCCTTCCCAGCCGCATGTAGATATAGCTTGTTGTGCCCAGGTCCAAATGCACCCAATTTGCAGGCAGTGTGGCTACAACACAGGTGGTAATGGCAAGCAGTTGCAGACCAAGTGTGCAATGGTGAGATCGCAGACTGTAAATTGATGTAGTTTGTTAAAGCTGTATGCCAATAATACTATTGTGCAAAACGAAAGTCCCAAAGTGCCGGGAGAAAGCAACCTGCCTCAATGTTACCGCATTGCACCGCATCCCGGCAACTCAGTGGTACAGCTCAGAAAACCGTATTTACAGGCAAAATACGGCAGTCTGTTATTTGGATTCCGGCGTTTTCGTGGCACATGCGAGAATATGCCACTGCATTGAAGAACAGAAGCAAAGCGAAATCGTATGCTTGATTATCAAAACAATGTCCGTTCAGCGCAATGGGCCACTGTATCTTCATGGGGATCGTTCTGGCAATCGTTTCTTCGTTTAGACCGCATCATCCTGGCGCCTTCGTCATGAATATCTAACATTTGGCACCTCTAATGTTCGCAGAGTTTTGCGCTCCTGCCGCACAGCATGCCTTAATTTCCTTGCACTGTTCGCCACGAGCACCTCTTTTTGACCAATGAGCATGGCTGTCATTGCGCCATTCCCTTGTTGCTTTCGGAGGCTGCGCAGGTCTCCATAACCAAATCACGTAAACCCGCAAATTCCATACAGCTGGTGCAAGTTCTTGGGATTAAGGCCATTGGCAAGGATTTCACGATAAGTTTAGCATTTGAACAGAATCTCAGCGGCAACGATGTTCTTGAAGATTACTTGCCACAGGACTTGCAGGTTGGAAAAGCCTAATTGGAAAGAAGGGAATCAACTAGAATTTGGGAATCAATTTCGCGCCACAGTACCGTGAGCATTGTTGTCTCGACCGCATTTCTTCCAACCACGCACATTTACTCACAATGCTGTCTTTTACTTCGTGCTTAACCTGAAATTGTAGTTCCAAATTTAGAAATTTGCACCTCAAGAAACTGCAAGGACTAACAGCTTGTATTTGCACATTACTAGAACTGTAGCTCAACCGCCTTTACGGGAGCGTAAAGTTTTAAAATTTTGTCGAAACATGTGTTTCGGCTGTGAAGTTGATTCAGGGTCTCCGCTTGTTCAGCTTGACATGCCGCAGTACAACGTGAGCCTCGGCGATCCCCGGCTGGACTTCGTTGTGGGTCTGAACATTGACGGAGCACCGTGCGGTATGGCTGGCAAGCCGGACATCTTCATCGACCTCAGGGCTCACGTTCCATGGATCGACCAACACACGAAGGGCGACCATTATCGCAAGCAGGAGTTGTAAAGGCTTGAGCTGTCGCGCAGAATTTAAGCAACGTGCTTCGGGTACTTGCTTCTGAAATCAAAGGCAAGCGGAATGTTCCTCCGTGGCTTGCAGTTCAATACCGCATTGTGACGAAGTCATTGCGGAAATCAATAGCATTACGTCAATAAGCAGATAACGCTGGTGGGGTGCAACGTGAAAGAAGCTTCAGTAGGGTTGACATGTATTTCAAGCGCAAACTCCATCCTCATAATTGAACCTCCATTCAGGAACGCATGTCTCTGAAGCGATTACTCACACTTAGAAATTCAGCACTCATTATTTCCACTGCAATCGCAATCCTGATGTCGAGCCCACTGTGCATGTGGTAGTGAGATCTATCTTGTTGCTCACATGGTTGACGGAGATGCGGGTGTCTCCTCAAGTTAGCTTTTCAATCATGAAACGGCGAAGGCCAATGCCCCATTTCGCCCAATCCAACGCAAAGTGAAATCCCGACCCCATGAAGTACTGCCCGTTTTTCAGAACTCAACGGTCGTCAGAGTCACTCATGGCAAGATAAGAGTCTCATGTATCCCGAATGCACTGGCGCCCATAGACGTTGTAGTTGAGGCCAATGTGCCGCCGCTACCACGTTGTCCTTGTGATGGCACCCAGCCGCTCCGAAAGCTCAGATCCACGCATCCCTAATTGCGGCCAACCTTACTGCGAGCATTTACTTATCATTTTGGGAAACGCTATGTCAGGGTGAAACTGATGGACAACTATATTTTGCCGTTATCAATTGTGGCGATTTCCAAAAAATAAATCAAGTGCGAAGATCCTGAAAATGACCAAATGATTGCGTCCACGATGGAAAGGTCGCGCCCATAAACGCAGCTGCGAATGTTCCGCTGCATTTCGTTGCCCCTCTTGATGAGTCTCTTGCAATTTAATTGTTGCGAGGATTTGAGAATGGGACAGAATCGTGCGAAAAAGAATTTCTTTCCGTTGCATTTAGGAGCCCGCAGAAGGGCTATGGCATTTTGAAAACAGAGGGTGACCGCCAATAGACGGTCTCCACTCCCAAGCCCGGAGGCTGAAGCGTTTGTGCCGTTCAATCAGTTGCCACATGCAGCCGCGATGTGCCGTTGACATCGGCACTGTATCAAGCCTGAAATGGGCGCCATATCGAACAGCAGAACTTTGAATCTCAGGAGACTAATAAACTACCAATCCCAGGGCAAGCCTGCAACTTATGCGAACCCGTGTATTTCCATCCCCGATTAGGTTTCCCAGTGAACAGCGCTGTCGGCGTGAAGCACAGCAAGACTTCTGGCACTCCATTTCTAATACTAACATCACATTTCTAACGCCAGAATTAGACCAAACTCGGAGACATCATCTGCCCCAGTACTGAGCAAAATTCCTGCTACAATTGCACATGAACGCAAAAACTTGTCCAACGGTCCAATGCGCTTATTATCCGCCCCCTTTGCGGCCGGTTCACGGAAATTTGTCGCGCAACACGTTGAAAAAATCCAGCAAAACTAAATCACGAGAGTGGTGTCCCCCTGGGTCTGGAACTGCAAGTACTCCTGTTTCGGGATGGTATCTCCCTGCGCGCTGAAGGTGCGCTCTGCATTTGCATGCACCCCTGCTGTTCCGCCTGAAGCTCCTTGCATTCACAACCGCGAGTGCCCCACCAGTGCTCCAGTGCTGTGCTGGCGCAGTATCACTTGGCAAGTGGCGCCTGGGGGCCCAGGAGATGCCGCTCAATGTGGCGCACACCTCCCACACGCAACACAGACAAGATCGCCATGTCACATTCTCAATGTCGCAAATCTCCCTGAGGATACTTGGAGACATGTTGCGTGCTCAGGAGCTTTTTTGGGGGAAGGTGTTGCTTCACCTAAAGCAACGCAACGCTGCGATTCTTGTGCAGCAAAAAGTGTCCACTATCCATGGAAAAGCCCAATGTGGTTGGTCAAGAAAGGCATGAAAGGCGAAAAGAGGCCCAAGTGGGAACTCATGAAGCAGTCTCAGAATCAACATTTGTTGTGGCCAAATGTATCCTCGGGCGTGGTAGAAAATTACCTGGCTCTCACCATCTTTGACCGTGTCTAGAGAATTCTGAACTGAAAAAATACAATTGTTATTCACATATATTCAACTGTTATTCACCATAATTCACACATTCTGACACTGCTCGTACACCAATGAGCGAGTAGTGTCAAAATGTGTGAATTGCGAGCCAATGATGCAGCTTAAAGTGCGTGTTTTTGCTGTCAATTTTTGTTAATGTGGTCTTAATGAACCTTGGCGACTAGCAATGACACACAAGTTCACCATTGCGATGTTAAAAAGAAATTCATCACTTGTGATGCTCAGAATCACAATGCCCATCGATCACATACAGACGCTTCATCAGAGTGCTCTAATGAATGCCAATACTATATATAAAAGAAAACATTGAATTAAGTATAGACTGCGTTGGCTTGGATAATCGAGTTTTCGCCCTGCGCTGCAACAGTACTGAATTGTGTCTGTGGCTCTTGCCATTCAGGAGCTGAAGACGTCAGAAACGATCATGCACAAGAACTGGACGCCGACAGAAGGTCCTTGATCCTGTTGGAGCACTGTGATCCTGAGGACAGAGCAGGAACTGCAAGAACAAGATCCCATAATCCCGGGTGATAATTCTTCCCTGCCATCCGGCGACAACCTAGCCAGCATTGGGCTCGGAGCAGGCCAAGTAGCCTGGCCAGGGCCTTGCACATGGCATTTTCTACACCTTCGAGATTGAAGACATGCACAGTTTGCGGAGTGGACGCTCCACAGCCTGGCTCCTCTTTGGGACGCAAGGCTCCGTTGCCGCATGCCTTGTGAACTGAAGCGAGACACGAAGGCCTGCTCCACATTGTGCACAACACGTGGCAAGGAGTGCATGATCAGCGAGCCGCTCAATCATCATCGTCAATTCATGAACGGGCGACCAGCGGCGCTGGAAGGCGCTCGGTGGCAACGCAACGAGGGCAAAACACCGCTCAGCTGACACTTCGCCGGGATAGTACCCCAAAGAGCACAGCACCGATGGAAAGTGCCCGACCCGCGATCCATTTTGGGGTGCTCCGGGCTGCTGCCGTGACCCCGTCCCCGGCATGGATCGACGTCCCTTGCGCAGCTCGCTCACCCCTTGCCGCGGTGCTCCGCGGACGGGGGCCAGAACTGTCTGAGTCTGAAGGGTTCCGTGAACATGGGAAGATCTGACCCAAAAGACCTGCCCACGCGGGAGATCTGATGCATCCGAACTTCCCACGGAACATTTCAGACTCGGACGTACGGCCATATGGCGTGGGGGTTGTCGGGGCTGACACTGGGATCGACGTCGGTGCTGCCTTGCCGCGGGGATCGGCATCGCTGCCGCCTTGACGGGCGGACGCGGCGAAATAGCGCATGGGCGCCGAACGGCGCCTCCTTCTGGCAGTGCAGGCCTGCGCCCGGTGGGACACCTGGACGGGAGGCTTTGGTGTGGGGGGGAATTTTCCTTCCTCCGGCTTCCGACCTTGGATTTGCACGGTACGGCTAGAGTTGGTCCGCTGAACAGCAGACGGTCCGCGTAGAATTGAAGACTTCAAATTTGCTCGCATGGTGGATGGAGCCAGTCACGGTTGTGCATGGTGCCAGTCACAGGTTCTTGACCTTGCTTTTGCAGCGAGCTCGGACAGAAGCAAGTCGGCCACACTGCGAGGAGGGAGGCTGGAGTTGATGGCCCTGGAAATGTAAAAATGACTGTCCAGCTTGACTAGTCTGCTGTCGAGCACTCTGCTGGTCTTCCCACCCTCCCCCACCAGTTGGGGGGAGCGGGTGGAGTGCATTGCTGCACTGGGACGAAACCCTGTCTCGATCCGGACGGCGTCATCAACTACTACAACTGATTTGTTTTCGGCAGCGAGCGGGTCCCATGCAGCACCGCGCACCGCAGCCCCGGGGCGCCATTTAGCTTCGCAGCAGCGGTGGTTCCTCGTGATGCGCTGGCGGAAGAAGGCGTTCGAAGCGGCTCGGGGCCGCATTGTGTGGCGGCCAATGCCCGTTGTGCCGTGCCGCGCTGCGGCTGCGCGGTTGATGTGCCGAAGAAGCACCCTAATCGGGGCTGTGGGTACCTGAACGTCGCCTCCACACAGCCTCCATGTCGTGCGAGAGCACTGGAGCCCCGTGCACATTAGGTTCACTCACCATTTGTCAGGTACGTGCGACCCGGGCCATCCCGGCAATTGCTGAGTCACCCAGGTCTTTCCACCAAGTCAGTCACCCCTGGGCGAGACAAAAGGGCACAGTGGGTGCCGTGCTGTGACGAGGCCGGCCCAACTTCACGGCGGAAACGCATTCCGGGGTTCCTCGTCGGCGCATTTCCTCCGTCGGTGCGGACTCCCTCGTCTCGGGTGCGAGCTCCCGGCCCCCTGCGTTGCAGCGGCAACGGGCATTGCGCTGTCGCGGATCCCCGACTTTTCGGGACGCGCTAAACAGATGACGGGATTCAATTCAATCCGATCCATGGTCAAGCCCAGAGCCTGCCATCGCGCGGCACATAGATCGATTCTGGGGCACTGGGCATCGTTCCTCAAGAGGTCGCGGATGGCTTTCGATTGCAGGGAGGGACGGTTTGCGAGGCCGGTGACAAAATCCTGTACTGTTCAATCCTGGGTGCCCTTGGGGAACCATCAGTTGTGCTTGTGCGGCATCCGACACCTGCCAGAGCTGTCGCAGACCGTTCAGGTCGCCCGCACCGCGTTCGATGTGGCGTGTCCATGTGCCGTTTGGGCTTCCCTTTCGCATGGCCTTGCACTTTCCCCATCCGAGACAAGCTGTCCCCGTCATTTGCCCTTTGGCCAACGGGCTGCGCCGCGCCGCGCTTGTTTTGTCGACGGCACCCGTTGCTGTGCCGTAGGCGGGCTTGTCTAAGGGCCTTAGGTTCCTGCTGCGGATGTGCCGACGTGCTGCAGCTCCTGGCTGCAGCCGACACCGAAGGGCGTGCGCTGCGAGAATGGCGCGGTGCGCACCGCGTGGCTGGAAAAGCAGTTGGTGCGGAATAGATTCTGGGGCCGCCTTGCGCACCAGCGCAACTGTGGCCGCGAGCTGTGGGCCAATTCGTTATGCGGCACAGCGCTCGCGTCTCCTCGTGAGACAAGGCAGACATGGGGGAAATGCAGCCTATGAGTAGATGCTGCAAAGCTGGCATGCGATCACTTCGTGATGCGGGGTCAACGTGAACAGCATGTTCTTGGGGGTGAACGCGGTTAGCGGTGGAGCATATGCCATTGGGATGCAAGTCGGTTGCAAGGAAATACTCCGCAGCTTTCTGGAACGTTCATGTTGTGATGCTAGATGCAAAGGTTAGCCCGTGCTGTCATCGTCGATGATGACACCACCATGGTGTCGGCCAAATGGCCTACATTGCCTGTCCAAGGGCTCAGCATGCCCAATTAATGCAATGCAAGGAAGAATATCATTTATCATATAGCAATTGGCAGTTACCGATTGCAATAACCGCAGCCGCAGCACTGTGTTCAATGCCAATCGTGTATTCACAACACTCAATGCCAAGTGGCGGCCATTCTTGGGTATCCGATTCTGCGAAGAGCAGTGCACATTTGCAGGTCCACAGCCTTTCTTACATGCCCGTCACCGAATTTGCAGCAGCATGGTCTTGATTTTCCGCAATCTTTGGCAATTGTATCATCTCATGGGCGATCACCAGCATGAAGATTGGCTGTGATATATAACCCAAGCCATCACAAGGGGATGAACACCTTAAAGTGCAATGCAAGTTGCAACGATCTGCACCAGCATGATGTGACAAGCACCCATCCATTTTGCTATAGGCTTTTCTTTCAGTTTTAGCCGCACATTCGTCGCAGCTCATCCCAGGGCATTCCCGCACAGCCGAGCGGCAAGCCTATGACTAGGGTGGGCACAGCTGCACATGCTCAATCCAGGGGAATACTCTGAATGCAAATCAGCTGTGAGAAACATTCTTGACGCAAATGCGTTGTACTCTTGGAGCTCAACGACACCCACACGGCATCCAAGAATTCCCCCAGGAAGCGTTTGAACCTGCCTCGACATTGAGATCGTCATTGACTGTGTCTGCACTCGTTAATCCAATGTAAGCTGCTGGCTTAGGACGCGCAGAATAGGAAGAGTTTGTATCAGCGCAGGGAGCGACCGTCAGAATGTGGAAAGCGGGCAACAGGACTCCCGAGCAGGCATGATATATATCCGCTTTCATGAACAACGGAAAATTCTTGACACGCTCTCGATTTCATTCCCCTGCTGCCGTTGGAAATACTGTACAGTCTCATGCCAGAACAGGGCTGCTGAACATTACCCCCACACAGTGTACAAGAAATCAATTGACAAGTTTTGTGTTCGCATGTGAGCAGTTTGCCTATCCATACAAGCCATACCCTTCCACACTGCAGTGAAGAGAATGCTCAGCATATACCCACGATTTCAAGACATACTGCTCTATTTTGTGGCATTGATTAATGACCGAATCGAAGCGCTGACAGCTGCATTGACCTTTGACATTTTATCACGTGTCTTTCTGTAATGCACAAGACAGCAATGAACATTCAGGAGCATAAAACCCTCAGTCAGGACGCAGGAAAAGAAAATTGAGTCGGAATACCAAATTTAGGACACACCCTCGAATGCAGCATATTGTAGTCTGGACCACTTACCCTTGCCGATTTGTCTGATAGTCTCCAGTCTCGCCACAGGAGGAAGAGGGTTTCCTGGGCGGCATGTGCTGCACCGACAAGCCCATGTGGCTGTCTGGTGGGGGAGTGACGATGGTTGTGGTAGTGAAGAAACGCAGAAAGGCCAGTGCGGCACTGGCGCTCGTGCTCTGCGGAGCCGCCGTTGGAGGGTGCTTGGCAAGCGCAGGTGAGCATTGGCGCCAGCAATATTTCACCACATTAACGCCACACACTACTGTGACCGTGCCCGCAAAATGCTGAGATTTATTGGTACACGAAGTGCTCCATCGCGCGATTCTCCACTTTCATTGACCGGAGTTGGAGCGGATCTGGCGACATTGGACGCCTGGGTATTTCTTAGGCATTTCTGTTTGAGCACATCAGTAGGAAACGTCGATTCAAGGGGTACATTGCGATGCGGAAGGGTCAAATATTTTACGGTAACGCGAAATCGCTTTCTGACCTTGTATCCTTGTAGAAGCCGCTGGAGACGCGTGCAGAGAGTTCTTCACAGACAGCACGTCTACGTCGTGCAATATCTTTCATCCGCGGACAGATTTAGTACATTGCATAGCCCCTCTTGTTGGGTCCTGCAATGGATTCCCGTTATTCGTGTTCTTGGCAACAGTCGATATGGCCTTCTCATTGGACAAAGATGACCCGTTTCGCCAAAATTGCACGAACGCTAGCCACATCTCAAAACGGCAACTGAAATGTGGGGTCCTGCGATGGATTACCGTTCCTCGCGCCCCGGGCGACAATCTACATGGCCTTCGCGGCGGACAAAGATGACCCTTTTCGCTAGATTTGCATGAGCGCTGACCACGTTCCAAAGTGGCAACTGAAATGGACGCCGATGCCACCGCCTCCTTTTGATAATGGGCGCCGGTGCTGCAGGAGGACGCGACAGCTGCGATGGAGGCGCATTTGTGGAGGATAGGGAGGTGAGCTTGCAAAACTGTGGCGCGAAGCGCTGCTGCTGAAAGGCGTTCAGGTCGCTATCACATGTACATCTCCAAAACGGGCTGCATCGGCTCCAAGTGGCTATCCCGCAGAAAGCACAAAGCCAGTGTGTCTTAGCACGCCTCCATACCGCATCCGCCCGGGAGCCCAAGGATCTGGAGCAAGTTTGTTCCTGAGCGCCTTCATGATTTGGGAGACTTGTGCTTGCAAGCCCTGTGACGCCACCCGCTGCGTATTCTCTTGTGATCAATCCTCCACCTTTCCGGTGGCTCGCCCAGGTGTAAAATTGCCTGCGCATGTATGCAATGCACAGTTGCTTGGCCTTTGCACGCACCATAGTGCTCAGTTGCTCGATGTCTCCTCGGGTACGAGATCTCGTCCTTGAACTTTCCTTGCACCTGCAATGACATCGCGGCGAGGATTCCCTTCGTCTTTACTGCTTTTTGGTTGCTACCTCTTCTTTAATAAAATCAAACAAGAACATTGGGAATTTCGGAAATGGACTGAAGTTAGACTGGTACTCGAAGCACCGCATGTAATATGACCTACGAGAAAGCATTCATCAGATTCTCGAGGGTGTGGGACCAGCAAACAGCACTCCTTTCGCCCATTCCCTGTGCTTGTAGAATCCGCCGTTCAGATACTGTTACCTAATGTCAGTATGTATGCGGGCATGTGGATATGCATATCCGTGTGGAAAATGGAGATCGCTTGTGCCGCAGCTTGCAGATAAAGGGGTGCCCAAAAGGCAATAGACAGCCCAAAACAGTGTGCACCAGAAACCACCTGATTGCATTGCATTGGGTCGGAGAACCTCGGGTGCTGGTGTGGTGGCAGGGCACGACCGTGTTGGCGATGGACCGGTTGCCGTATATGGTGTCGATACGGAGCCACGGGTCAAGGGACCACGTCTGCTCGGGTGTCCTGTTGTCAGCCTTCCACATTCTGACCGTCGCCCACTGCGTTGATCCTACCTCTTCCTACTCTGCGGGTCCTAGGCCAACAGTTTACATTGGATCAACGAGTGCAGATGCAGTCAATGACGATCCCAATGTCGAGGCAGGTTCAAACGCTTCCGGGGTGTATTCTTGGATGTCGCGTGGGCGTCGCTGAGGTCTAAGAGTACAACGCATTTGCGTCAAGAGTGGCGCTCAGGCTGTGCTGCATTCAATACATTCATTTCACCAGGAAAAATTCGCTGAAACTTTTCATTATATCAAGGAACTGCAAATACCTTACCAAAACTGGGCAGTGCGATAGAATACATGGGAAACTGCAGGCTCAGCAAGGGCAATGTTGCCTAGGTCATTTGAGATATTGCATTTGTCAATTGACTTTCTGCCTTTTCAGGTAGCCATACAGAACAACTACTTCCTGTGATTTGTGCACTCAAACTTGCAATAAATATTTCCAGAAGCAGTTGTGACAAAGAGCGCTGCTAAAAACTGGATAAGTGATGTATCTTCTTCCTATGTTAGAAATAAAGACAGCATTGAGAGTGCGGACTTGTTGCCCTCTTCTCAATGGGTTCCAGTCAAAAATATTGGCAAAAGTTCGCCATAAATGCTGGTGGCCAAGTGCCGCGGATCCTGCATTGTAGCAACCCTACTTGCTGGCGTACAAGTTTGAATGATATACTATTTAAAAATAGAGACAATTGGCCATGCAAGGCAATAGAAAGAACAATGCGCAACTTACGAACACTGCTAAAAAATCGGTAAAAGTACACGGTCCAGAAATCTTGTACCGTGCTGCGCGTGTCAAAATGGTGTAAAAGTCGTGTGAACATCGTGTACTGATCGTGTAATAATCACAAAATACACATTTGCCGCTGGTACACTGTTAAAATCGTGTAAAACCGTGTGCTTTGTCGTGTTGTCCATGGTGGTAAGGTGGGCCACTTTCGTGTACTACACAGGGGTGAAAAATACACGATTATAGCAATCGTGTAAAATCGTGCTCTGAAGCACCCGATTTGTACACGACATTACACGATTTTGTCCAATTGTACACCGTGTAAAATGGTCGAATTTTTACCAGTGGAAGCAGAGATCGACCCAATGCCGTTCACAAAATCCTGCTCCGCTGCCTGGGCTTTATTGCAAAACCAATGTGTATCCAGACGATCTTGGAATACAATGGCATGGATGCATCCAAGCCTATTACGTAACTTGTTTCAACATCACTCATGCACGCTCACCGCATTTGAATTGTGTGCACTTTCGTCGAATGTCTTCCTTTGTCGTCTATCGGTGGTATCGGCGACACCACGGCATTCATGATGCTTCTGTACCATCTATCGATTGGATTGCGTCGCCATTACATCCGCATTGTCTTTACCGATGTTGCAGGTGCGCGTCGTGGCGCGCACCCATTTCCACGAGTCCTGGAGTCCCTCAAAGATCCAGAACTGCCCAAACAACCTCGCGCTTCTAACAGTGGAGCGGGCCGTCAACAAAACGCCGGTGAGACTTCTGACCGACCACTTCCGCCTGACCACGGGGCAGACGCTGGCGGCGGCAGGCTGGGGTGCAGGGCCCCAAGGGCCCCGCCTGGGCGAGGGCATTTTCGGGACGCTGAAGGCAGAGGCGCAGCAGTTTCTGGACTCCTCGGCCTGCAACCGCACAAGCCTGTGGAGCGGCGCCGTGCGCGAAGGGACTGTGTGCGGCCTGAGCCGGGAGGCTGCGGCCAGCTGCATCGGTGCGCAAGCCACAGAAAATTCACAACACATTCTCGCAACGATGGAAGGGCTATCATGCAACATTCTGCCATGTGTTTATATTATGCGTATATATGAAGGGGTGCATGCTATGTATTTATGCCATCCATGGACGGTAATGTCATACAATTATACTTCCTTCGTTCCAAATCAGTTGTCCTCTATGACTTTGGCGCTTTGTTTCTCCATCACGTTGATGAAATCTTTTGTTGAAATTTAATTCAAAATTGTTTCAATTGGTTTGGAGTGTACGGTAATAATTTCATGTCATTCCATCAAGTATTATGGATACGACAACGATGTGCAGGAAGGGTGCTCACACCAGCCAACGTCAAAAATTATATGTCGCTGTAAGAACGACGGTCTTCCCAATGGGGAGGAGCACGTCTTCGCGGCGGTGAAACAACCTTGCAAAAATATCTACGCTGTTGGGAGTGGCGTTTGGTGCTGTGCCTGGGAAGATCCAGGGTGATAGGAACGTGTCTTGAAATGCCGGATCGCGGAACTCGCCGTGGCTCGCGACTTCCAATCAGGATCGATTGGCTGAAACGAAGACGCCTTTGGGTTCCAGATTTCTGGGTCGCGGCTTGTCAATATATATCTCTGCTGTGAGTGATATACCGTGGCAGGCCTCCCTAAACCCTCAAATGGTTGCGAGTGAAGGTACTGGCCATCGTATTAGTCATCATCTGGCGATTAGGGCAATAGTTTTCAAGACAGGAATGGCGAAAACACCTGACCGTTTTTTGACAATTGAAATGTTTGGAAGCAAGAGGAATGGCCAGATGGCTGACACGCATATAAAAGGAAGATAGCCCTGCTAGGTCGTGATGGATTGTGGACCGCCTGCAAGAACTGCCCGGTATTGGCAGCTGTCGGTTAGCCCCAGACTGTGGACGAAAGCGTCGATTCAAGTGTTCGCCGAGGCAGATTGTCCAAGCAAGACTATAATCAGAGAGCGACGGCTCGCATAGATCCCAAGCTTCAACACCCTTTCCCTCAGCCTTTTGTGCTCGTTTTAGGTCTGCGCGTACGAGTTTGAGGGTGGCTTAAACTACTGGCATCGTCAACGCTTGCACTATAGACTTGCACGGTGGAGATCTCAACACGGTTGAGCGTGTTGAGCAAATGATGTTCCACGCAAGGGATGCCGCGCTTTGCCACGAGGGCGGCAAAGCCCCCGCCTTAGAGCACCAGGAAAGGGAGCAAATTGGATCCATGGGGATCTGAAGCGCACACAGAATCAAAATGCACAATTTTTGGGCGAATTTCGGGCATTTCCGATCGCTCCAAAGCAGGAGCGGGATTGCATTGTTTTCTACGAAAATTAGTATCCCAAATTTTCTGATTGTGGCTTCTTCCTTAATTAATAAGCCATACTTATCTACGGCAGATACTCATAGAAAATCCCCCAAGAGCAAATAGGGCAAGTGAGATATAGTGCATCTTGCAAATGCATTCGATACATGGCATCGAAGGAGAAAGGATAGAGCAATACTCCGATTCCACTAGTTAATGCATGGCACTACCATGATGGTAGATTTGGTTGAGGGACTTTTAGTGATTTATCCCATGAAAATGTTAATTTTGAGTTTCAACAAAATTGCTGTTCCAAAACAGCGAGTGCACCGTCTTACACACAAAATATATGCTACCTATTCTGCACATAGTATGACACGGTATATATGACACGGTATATCAGCAAGCATTGTAGTAAATTGTTGTGTTATGAATTCAAAGTCAAAGTAAAGCCAGAGTGGCCTTCTTGTACAAAGCAACCGAGCCACTCGTATTTCGCTGGAAAATCAGTGTGTAAGTACACACGTAGTACTACGTCCTGTGTGAGCGCAGACCTCCAGCCAGCGCCAGCAAAAAGATAACGATGCAAAGAAGATATGTAAAAAATCACGGTACTCAACTTCCAACCCACTTCTAAACATTGAAATTTCAATGCCCTAATCCTTCAAATGATCAATTTCGGCGCCCCCGGTACGTCGCATCGTCGACAAATTGGCGCTGATGGCAAGGCCGCTTCCCTGGCCACCCGCGGCCATTGGTGCCAATCACCGGCCGGCGGGGCTCGCGACGCCAATGCTTTGCGGATGCCTGACCGTTCCGAGCCCTCCGTGCCCACCCGCCGTCTGCACCCGTCGGCACGTTTGAGCCCCGACACCTGCCGACACCCACCGACATGCAGAAGGCTGACGGTGCCGAGGCGTTGGCGCCCATTTCCTTACATCGACCGAGTTGTGGACCTTTCTGCAAGCGCCTCCGTCCTGTCTGTGACCCGTGCCCCTCGTAGGGTTTGACTTTCTCTTGGTGCGTATATGTTTTAACCCTGTTGCATTGTTGCATACAATGTTACAGTATGTATGTTATGTAACATGTTATGTAATATGTGGGATCGGAACACCCGAGTCATGAGGGCTATGACCTGCTGGATTGGTGGTGAAGGCGTGGAGCTAAGAATGATTCATTGCCAATGTGGACGCTTCCACAACAGGTGCCTCCAGACTGCGGTTTTGCAGAAGTGCATGTTGCAATACGTTGTGCACCAAAATGCACCGTACATTGGGTGCACGTTCAATGTAAATACGGTATATTGTGCTTTGCTAAGACTTGGGACCAGGTGTTCAAGGCTTCAACAAAAACGCAGCAGAAAATAATACAGCCCAGGTTCACATGGAATCATGTCCAGCCTGTGTATCTTTTGGCCTGAACTATGCGTGCCTGCCACTCTCAGTCGATTCAGGGTCCCCTCTCCTCCAGCTGGACATGCCGCAGTACAACCTCGAATGCGGCGACCCCGCGCTGGACTTCCTGGTGGGGCTTAACGTCGACGGCGCTCCGTGCGGCACGCCGGCAAAGCCCGACATGTACGTCGACCTTAGGCCCCACGCCGGCTGGATTGAGCTGCACACAAAACCGACGGCTGGAGGAGGTCAAGAACTGTGAGGGGCAGTGCGTGCCACAGAAGAAGATGGCACGAATGGCAAAAGAGGAAAAAATGGGATGCTACGAATTGCATCAAAGGGACACTTCAGGGGCGACGCAACGAAGGACACAAGAGGACATCGTTGGAGAAGGAAAGCCCGCTTTTTCCTTCCCCACCAATGCTATCTTCACAGGGACGTGAAGCTGCAAGCTGCGCAGACACGAATAGGGGCAGAGGAAGGGGTGGATTGGGACGGGTGATGGACTCGATGGGCTGTGGGGCGCTGAGGGTGTCGGCCAGAGAAGACGAGAAGACGTCGAGGAGCCGCCTCGCTTTGTTGGAAGCGATTTTTTGACGCCAGCATGGTCCATCAATCGAATTGCCGAATCAAATGATCAGATAGTCAGGTGAACAAATGAACCAAATTTCGAACAAGCATGGGTGGGAAGCACTGGTTTTTTCTTTTAGGTCGCCGAGGGCCCGGCCAGCGGTGCCGGCGCATCCATTCGAGAAGCAATTGGCGCAGGTTGTGAGGGGCCAACCACAGCCCGAAGCGTTTGCGACTGCGACAAGGGGCATGGCCACTGCCGCAGTTTTCTTGAACATAATGGGAAACTGTGGGCAACATCAGACGACTTTGGGTGGCGTTGAATTCTTTATCAAGGGTATGAGATGGTACCAAACTGTGGGCGAGGGGCCGGGGCTCAATGCTGGCGATTCCTAGTCAGAATAGATTGGCGGACGTGATGAGGAGGAAGCTGTAGTTTGGGAGTCCGCATGTACATTTGGGCAAGAGCATTCACATTTCATTTAGGTCTTGAAGCATAGTGCCTGTACACGCATCAATGGATATGCCACAGCGCCTGGCGTGTATGTGGGCAGCTCTAGGCGACGATTTGCGACGCCGTATTCCTTTTCAATTGAACAAACGCACGGGATGGTTGATGGGGGAGCGACAGCCCTTTGCAGGCGCCCCTCACAGCCCTCTTCATTCCTTGTGTGCACTCGGCGGCTGAATTGAGCTGCAATTGTGGTCACGACAGAATGGCAAGTAATGGTGTCCGGGTTCCGACAGATTCTTTGTCATCCTGCACTTCGTCTTTTTGCTCGCTATTGGATAACGGTGCTGCCGCCAGGCAGGGAACAGTATTGGCAATTTCGACTGATCGATCGACTTTTGGGGCCGCTGAACAATTAAGGGATCTAGAGCAGCCAGAGGATGTCCATGCTCTCTGGGCTCTGTGTATAATTGTATGATGTACAATAATGTATATTGTGACTGGAATGTGCAACGGGAGCATAATGTGCGTTGGCGGGGAGAGACGGAGTTTCGCCAACGAAAGGCTTCCGTTTGATTAGATTGCATGCATTTCAGGCTGAAGTGCTCGTACATGCATGTAACTTTAGATGAAGTAACAACTGTGCAGTAAATTGGCAATGGGTGGCATGTGTCCGCCAGTGCCAATGGACCTCCACCAGATTCGCAAAGAGCATTCTCACCCCAAACACGGCATCGCTGCAACAACTGTACTATTATTTACTGTACTGTTATTTTCTTGGTTGCCACATTGGTGCACTGCCGTATTGTTATTCATTCGTATTGCGTTATTTGCAACACCCCCCGCTCGGGTCACCCTCAGAGGCCCTCCACCCATTTGCGTTCATCAACAGTCCCCATCCACCACATCCTCCGCCCCAATACGCATCCGCACAGCTCGCGCCTTCACAACCCTGTGAAAAGGTCATTGGTGGGGAAGAAGAGCCTGCTTTCCTTCCCCAAGCATTCTTACCTGTGTTCTTCGTTGGATCGCCCCTGAAGTATCCCTTTGCTGGAGCTCGTAGCATCCCATTTGTGGTGCGCACCGCCCCCTCCGTCCTTGACTTCCCGGGCGCCGTTTTTTTTGCCCAGGTGGATCCAGTCAGCGTGGGGGCTGAGGTCGACGTACACGTCGGGCTTTCCTGTGGCGCCGCAGGTTGCGCCGTCGATATTGAGCCCCGACAGGAAGTCCTGCTGGGGGTCGCCGCATTCTAGGTTGTACTGCGGCATGTCGAGCTGGGGGAGCGGGGAGCCCGAATCGACGGACAGTATTTTGCCCTGATGGTATTTCACACTGCTCTTGTGCATTGAACCGCTGCTGAAAGTCTGGAAATCGTATGCTGTCAATGCAAACAGTGTCACAGAACGCACTAAGCGTTGGTTTTGTACACATCTGCTGACAACTGTCGAGTATTTGCTGGCAACCACTGTCAGCGACGCCTGTGCCTGCCCTGGACCGACAGTGGACTGTACGCCCTGATATGCCGCCCTGTCACATGGATATGCGCCCAGTGACAGCAAACGGCCAAAAGCCGCCCTTCCCGGCATGCACGCGCAGTCAGGGGCATCAACGAACATGTGCACAGATTCCTATTGGAACACATGTGTAGCTTCTTCCTGCCTTCTCTTGATTCCGTGGAAGCGCCTGATCCTTTAGCAGCCACAAACCCCCCACATCACCCCGGCCAATGAGCGCCATGTGTGCTGATAACAAGTAGTACCTTTGCGTAAACACGCCAAACCACACACACCCGCTTTCGTTTCTGATACCGTTGTGCCATCTGCAAGCAATTGTGGCCGCGTGGCTGCCACCAGACCGAGAAAAACAAAGCAGCGGGACCTCAGTGCTTCGACTCGCTGAGCGTGTCAACCCACCAAGGTGCAGGAATACCAGCATTCCACGGTGGTGGTCAATTGAATTGCGCTCAAACAAGGCTTCAGCACGCGCAGAGAAACACTAGAGCCAGCCTTCACCAACATCGTACACATCGTCATCGTGGAGGCCATTGCTTGAAACAAGGCACCATCGCAGTGTGTTCAAGTAGAATACAACCGAGCCCTGCTGAAGTGTCAGCCATGTCCTGACACTTGACGTGTGGAAATCATCGCCATTGCTGGGCTGCCCTTGAAAAGGTCCCCTGCTGCACAGCTCGGATAACCAAGCGAACGCAATCGGATAACTCAACACCCTCATGATCAACTGCAAACTGCATGTCATGACGCTAAAATGGCTACTGAGCATCTCACTCTTACTGCCAAAAAAACTGCCAACTTCATAAAATTCATCCCACACTTGGACCGTGCTAAAGTGTGTTGTACTGGTGCTAACTACATCAAACCGACCACCCTGTGCCACCGGGCAGCCTGCCACCAACTGATCGTCGTTATTTGAGTGCCTTTGTGTGACATGACAAAGTTAACAAACGCTACGCAGGAATCACACCAGCATCGTGCCCGGAGCATGCTCTCCTTCCCCAGCCTGCCAACGATGGCGGACCCCATGAATCCTAGAAAAGGCATCGCATTGCGTTCAGTTGCAACCCTCCCAGAGAAAAAAGACGACACACATGGCCTTGCTGTCCCAGCCCATGAGCCACTCTAGCTCATGCACAGGCGAACAGCACCAGGCAAATCACAATCCTTGTTGAAGACCACATCGCTGGAAGTCGCTCCTCGACGATGTGCTGCCAATGGTACCCAAGGATGGAGGCGTGGGCATCACATGCGATGGGCAGGCGCTGAGAATCTGAGACTAATCTTCATTGGCAGGCGTCGCTTCTGTGCTGGGCTTGCCGATGCGATCCAAGACAGGACAGGGATGCAGACTGCCTCCAAAAGAACTGCAGCTTTGGGGCAACATCCACACCACAGCGCCTGATTTACCAGGGCACCCAATCCTCCTGCAATTCATCAGCAACATTGGCGAACTAGAAAAAACTCAACCATCCTAGGATAAAACTAGGATAAAGGCAGCACGGGCTGGTGAATAGTGCTTGTGTTGTGAGCATTGTCCACCATCATCTTATCAGTGAATTGGTGGTGGTTTGTCACACCATGGCCAGACATTTATTCACCAAAGATGAACATTTCACACGGACGGCACTTTTCCATCACCTGATGAACTACCTATGATGTTCAGAGTGCACGACTCAAAAAAGGTTGGATGTCCCAGGACACGCTCAAAGGCGATTTGAGTGTTCATCATGGCTTGTAATACTCTAGACTTCTCCAGACACTGAAAGACATTTGCTCATCTACTAAGAATGGTGAAGGCATGCTGCACGCTCTAGAATGCAACCACAGTGCTCCTTGGCATCCAACATGTTCTAGGGTATTTCAGAGTGATCTGCAAGCCTCAGAACGCTTTTCCATGCTGCTATGCAAATGGTGTGCGATCAACCAATTCACTGGGCTGAGAACACTAATCAGGTAGCAATGTCTCACCACACAGATGGCGAGCCGACAAAAGGGAATGGACGCACGACATGAGAACATTCATGGATGTATGCAAGCCCATCATCGCCTACAAGGTGCAAGGGCATTGCTTTGTCTCGTCAAAGGCAACTTTTAAAGAGAACAGCTGCAGTGCACACTGCTGCTGGGGCATCCATTGCCACAGATTGACAGCGGCTCAGTGTTGTTATTCGGGACTCTTTGATGGGGAGGATGACTAAGATTCGCTATGGAAACAAACGCTCTGGATATCAAGCATTCCCTACATCAAGCATTGGTTCAACAACAGTGATCTGTCAAACTTGGACAGATGAAATCAACAGATACATCAGAAATGTGACAGCACGATGGTAATCAGTGGAACAAGGAGCTATGGGCTGCTGCGGTGCAAACATGTAAACCTCCCGGTTTTTAGGCAGGCCCAAGGGGGCACCAACATGGACAATTCTACAGCTGGGATATGTGCACGAAATGGAGGCATGTTGCTCTGACAGATTCATCTAGACACATAAGATGGGGTATCTATTTACTCGAAATGCAACTAGCACCAGGGCAATAATAATACAAGGCTGTATCACCCCACGTTCTATCTACGTTTTTGTTATCATAAATGTGCCGACTACCTGTCCTTTTATTGTTTATGGCAATCATGTCTTACAGTTCCTGCACTCTTACCAACAAGGGCACTACCAAACACCCTATGTGTACATGTGCCTTCAAACCGCTAGGCACTATGGTCCACTGAGGCACATGCACCACCAACTACAAGTGTAGCACCACAGGCAAACAGCCCGAAAAGCTCACGCAGCACCACAATACAGCACGGCCATACAGCAACACAGGTAGTACAGCAACTGCAATTGCGTGATGGCGTGGCAGCACGAAGGCCAAAACTTTGAAAAGCAAGCACTAACCAGAAAGTTGTAAACTGCTTTCACTTCATCGGGTTGCTGTGGTTCACAGAGCGCTCAGAATGCGACATGCATTGGCCACACGACACTGCAGAAAATCCAAGCTGTGAGCACCTGCTGATCGGCGAACGTCTGCAGCCAGGGGCGAAGATGGCTGACCAGAACGCAGGCCATGCAGCCACCACTGCACAGGGACAGATTGCAGCAAGGGCAGATGCCGACGAGCAGGTCCAGGTCAGGCCAGCCTCTCTCGATGGCCCACAGCGCTGCTTGGGGGCTGTGCAGGATTACCATGGCGGTTCCTGCACATTCGAAGAAACGTGATTCAACATTGATTGGATGCAAAGAGGATTTGCAATTCCGGACACCACAAGAACAAAGAAAAGCCTAAGAGAATATGCCACCAGTTTTACGCTTCATTTTTCGTGCTTTAATCTTGTCTTCACCTTTTTTGCACACTTTGCTGTATGTCATCAGTACCAGAGTACCAGAAACTCGTGCAGTGCACAAGTGTCATGGAAAACATCTGCGGTTACAAACTCC